TATATATATATTTTTGCAATTTTAACCACATATGACCATTTATTTGTTTGACAAATATCTTCATTCTAATTCACCACATTGCAATGTGCACAAAATTAACAGGTAGACGATTCAGATGTCATATTGTAGAGTAAATGTCCATTTCAACCAATCAGTCGGATTTAATTTATTACTAAATGTATGTATTTATTTTAATATAACCTTTATTTAACCAGGAAAATAGACCTGCAGCAGCAAATACAAAGCATAGTTACTACTGTACATCACTAGTAAGACAGCAAATTAAAACATCAAATTGAAAAACATTAAAAACAACACTAAATAAATAAATCTAAGAAAATTTAAGAACAACAGGTACAAACTGCAGAGTTAGTATCAAGTCATTTCAATCTTGAGTTAAATAAATGCTCCCAAATGAAATGAACTGTCAGTTTCAAGTCTTTCTGAAGTGTAGCAGGTGCAGAATGTACAAAAGTTTACTAAAATGTTACATTCAGGTAAAAAAAAAGATTCTTTCTATTAGGATACAGATTCAGACACTTCATATTTTCCATTGACTTTTACAACGACTAACTTGCTTTTATTAAATTAGATAATAGGATTTTTTTGATGAAAGATACTGTAAGACTTTAGAAAACTTTTGTAAAATGAAGACTTGCTGACACCTGGTGGTTATAAACTGTAACTACATGCACGGACACTGGTTTATGAATTAACAGACTTGAACAAATATTTACGTATGTTCTTAACCACAAGAAGTCGTCACAAAAGTGGACTTTGTTCTGTTTGTTTAAACAAAACACTAGGAAAGCAGCGGAAAAGCGAATCTGTTAGTTGATATAATTTCACGTTTAATATTTTACGTTTTGTGCCGTATAGGTAACTACCCGACACTCCCTTCTTCTAAGACGACCTTTGACCTTCGTGTTTAGCTAGTTAGCATTAGCATGCTGTGGGTAATAACAGCTGGACTCTGCCCACTCCGACAGGCTCGCAGAATAAAATCCTCGTTCACACACCTGCTCAAGTCGGTAGTTTGTAGAAACATGTCGTCGGGAACTAAACGTCCAGTTAGCTTACTGGGAACCATGGCGTTTGGGGGACGAGCTGACGCCAAGCAGAGCCGGGAGATGGTGAAGGCTTTTCTGGACAGGGGACACAAGCAGGTGGACACAGCGTTCATGTACATGGATGGAAAATCGGAGACTATCATAGGCGACATGAACTTACCTAAAACAGGTGAACTGAAAGTTATCTTACCAGTGTTTACTTGTGTTTTAAATCCAACTGGTAATTAAGTTTATTAACTTGTGTAATGGATGACAACCAACCAGGTAATTATTTTACTCATGCACAATTTAAATGTTTGGTAACGTGCGAAAGTTTTCAGCCATCTCGTGATTCACTTTTTGCTTAGAAACCTGCAATTCTTATTTTGACCACAAGGTGTCAGCAACTTTCTGCTAACAATAATACAGTATGAGTCTGCTTTTTTGTTATATATATATATATATAGATCGTA